GTTACAACTTTTTTTTTTTTTTTTTCCCCAGAGTCATGACATTTAAAGCGATTGCTCAGCTGTTTATCCTGGGCTGTTCTTGGGGCCTTGGTTTTTTTATGGTTGAAACAGCAGGAAAGACAGTTGGATTAGTCATTGCCTACATGTTCACCATCACCAATGTCCTGCAGGGGGTTTTGCTTTTCGTGGTACACTGTCTCTTTAATCGCCAGGTAAGGCTAATTTTTCCTTCTCTTCTGAGCTAGTCCCAAGATTTTATTGAATAGCTACTCACATTCTTGCCCTTCCCCAACCCTTTATTTGTATATTTTTGGGTTGCCCGGGTTCTGGTAAGAGGGTTTGGGTGCTGCTTATCTGTCATGTAGTCTAGGTTTCATCTTTTCAGCATCCTAACCTATCTCTTAAGAGCATTGTGACAATCGGAATGAGGTCGATTGTGCTGCAGTAACAAATAGCTCTCCTCTACTGATCATAAGAGGGAAAATGTGGAGCAGAATTTCAAATTCTTGTGGAATCCAGAATTTTTGGAGTCACTGAAGCTAGATGATTCCCCTGAAACTATTGTCCTGATGCAATCTTTAAACTACCAACTGAAATCTTTAAATCAAACAGTAGTTTAAATTAGTAAAGAATATTTTCCTTGAGCACTGTGGTCTTTTAAATAATTACCTACCTGTTGTTTGCTGTTGCTAAGTGCCGTCGAGTCATTTCCAACTCATAGCGACCCCATGCACAGCAGAACGAAGCACGGCAGTGTATTATCTACCTATATATGATCAAATCGACAAAAGCAGCTTCAAAGGTTAGATGAGCTTAGAGGGCAGTGAGTTATGTTAATGGTGCTAGAATAATTTGAAAAGAATAGCTGGAATGATTGTACAACTTGAAGAATATAGCCAATGTCACTGAATGGTACATGGAGAAATTGCTGAATTGGTATATGTTTTGATATGTATATTTTCACTAAAACAAAACAAAATAACAACAAAAAATACAATAGTCTTTCCCCAAACTCAGTGGTTTCCAACAGTAACAATTTATCTCTTCCTTGGTACACATAGCATTTGCTCTGGGATCTAGGCTGGGGGGCCTGCCCTGGTGTAGAACGTTGGTGATCTCATGATCAAGGAAAAGAGATCAAGGCAAAGCACAGCTTTGCTCTTGAAGCTTCTGTTTGGAAGTGACACACAGCACCCCCACCCTCATTTCACTAGCCAGCCCTGAGTTCACCTTGGAGCTCTGGTGGTGCTGTGGTTAAAGCATTGGCCTGCTAACCAAAAGGTTGGTGTTTGAACCCATCAGGGGACCTCTGGTGGCATAGTGCCTAAGGCACTTGACTGCTAACCAGAAGTTTGGCAGTTCAGACCCACCAGCCACTCCTCAGAAGGAAGATTGGGTGATCTACTTCCATAGTGATACTACCTTGGAAACCCAAGGAGGGGTCGCTGTGAGTCAGAGATGACTCAATGGCACATAACAACAACAAGAACAGCTCCTCTGCAGGAGAAAGATGAGGCAGTCAGCTTCCATAAAGATTGACAGCCTTGGGGAGGTTCTGGCAAGATGGCGGACTAGGCAGAAGGATTGCACAGACCCTCTTCAACAAAGAAAAGGGAAACCAACTAACACAGACACAGAAGATAATCTTGGACCCCTGAGCCTTGAAGGGAAGGATACAGAATTGGACTAAACCCCAACTAGCAGAAGAATTTGC